AATGTCTTCAAGAGTTCTACCTAACTTATCTTCCAGCAAGTTTAGTGTTTCTGTTTTAATATTTAGATCTTTAATCCACTTGGATTTTAGTTTAGTGGATGGTGATAGGTATGGGTCTAGTTTTAATCTTTGGCAAGTTGAAATCCAATTTTTCTAATACTATTTATTAAAGAGGCTATCTTTCCTCCAGTGAGGATGGTTGGCTCCTTTGTCAAAGATGAGGTGGCTGAGTATGTCTGGAGTTGTTTCTGAATCTTCTAATCTATTGCACTGATCCTCGGGTCTGTTTCTTTGCCAGTACCATGCTGTTTTTATCACAGTGGCTATTTAGTATAGTTTCAAGTTGGGGATTGTGATACTCCCTGCCATGTCTCTGTTGCTTAGAATTGCTTTTGCTATTCTGGTTCCAGATGAATTTTTGGATTGTTTTTTCTAGTTCTGTGAAATATACTGTTGGGATCTTAATTGGGATTGCATTGAATCTATATAGTAGTTTTGGAAGTATGGCCATTTTCACTATGTTGGTTCTTCCTACCCAGGAACAAGGGATGTCTTTCCATTTTCTTATATCCTCTTCGATCTTTTTTCAGAGTGTTGTAGTTCTCAATGTAGAGGTCTTTTGCTTCCTTCATTAGATTGATTCCTAGATATTTCTTTTTTTTTTGGTACTGGGGATCAAACTCAGGTCCTTGTGCTTGTGAAGCAGGCAGCAGAACCACTGAGCTAAATTCCTGGCCTGATACTTCATTTTTTTGAATGCTACTGTGAAAGGGATTGTTTCCCTAATTTCTCTCTCATTGAGTCTGTTATTTGTGTATAAGAAGGCTATTGATTTTTGAGTGTTTACCTTGTATCCAACTACTCTACTGAATCTGTCAATTAGGTCTAGAAGTCTTTTGGTGGAGTTTTTTTTGGTCTTCTATGTAGACTATCATATAGTCAGCAAATAATGACAGTTTAACGTCTTCTTTTCCTGTCTTTATTCCTTTTATTTCTTTCTCTTTTCTAATTGCTGTGGCTAATGTTTCTAGAACTGTATTGAACAGGAGTGGTGATAATGGGCATTCTTGTCTTGTTCCTGATTTTAGCATGAA